AAAATTTTTAAACAATTTAAAGAAAATAGTTCATTATATGTAAGTCCTCAATGTTTACTTATTAAAAATGTTTTTTATAAAACAGCTGAACCAAAACAAGCAATTGTTAATTCAATAACATAATCTTAATGTTATACAAATATGAATATATATATTTTTTTTTTTTTTATATATTCATGTGTGTCAGATTTAATATTTAAAAAAAACAAGAAAATAGAAAATTTTAGATTAGTTTCATTCAAGTGTCTTTTTTCGTTTGTTTTTACATATATATGTATTTTTCTTTTTTTTGTTGTTGTTGTTATTATTGAATCTAATTGAAAAGAAAGATGATAAACATCAATTAATTATCATCTTTCTTATAAGTAAAAATAATCCATTGAAATATTATGATAAAATCGAATTTAATAAATTATTCTTATAGATTAGATTTTATGAAAGTGATATTTAAAAAAAAATTCAATAAAAGTCTTTAAAAAAAAAAATTCTTTTTTTTTTTTCAATTGAAATCATATAACTAACTCGACTTAAATTTACATTCATTTTATAATAGACAGCGAAGAAAAAAAAAAAAGTTGATATTATTGAAGAAAACAGAAAAAAAAACCCACTTTTATAACATCATAAATCATATATTTCATTGTAAAAATTATGAGTATCTTTGAAATTTTCAATGAATTTTTTCGTGCATAAATATTACTTATAATCATAATCAATTAAGACGTTTTCTTTTCAGCATTAGACTTATGCAAAAAAAAAAAAGAAAATACAATGTCAATCAATAGTGACGTGTATGACTAAATATTGAATTGTACCTAAATATAAAAAAATGATTATATTCCTTCTTTCTTCTATTCAATCGCTTTTAGTAAATAAAGGACTAGTTATTCAACTATTTTTAAACAACTTAGTATAATTTTATGTATATATATATTTGGTTCTTTTATAATTATATATATATATATATATATAGTTTTTTTCTCTTGTTGACATTAAAGTATAAACGAAAAGAAAAAAAAAGAACCGAGAGATCTATTTCATTCTTTGTTGTGTACTTCAAAATTGTACTTTTTTTGTTCTTTTTATTTCGATTGAATCTAGATAATACTAAAAGTTCGAATATTATTTCATTTGTTTTCAATATATTTAAAAATAAAACGGATATTGTCGTACTCTTGTTGAGTCGTGCCCTCTGCAACAGCTTGTAAACGATTGGCATCTCACATATATATAAAATACAAAACGGACCGTCATTTTTATTTGATTTAATGACGATAAGAAATGAAAAAAAAAAAAGAACTAGCACAATTATAAAGACAAATTACATATATAAAAAAAAAAAAGAACAGAAGTACATGTAAATGCATCAAATTCACGAACAGTAATGAATCATCGTCGCCCATCAGCAGCGTATATATCGAATAATATTATTAATCAATTATCAGAAAATTTTTCTAGTGATGAAGGTTGTCGAATATTGAGTAATATTGTAAGTGATGAATGTAAAGTTCTACAAGATATTAAAAAACTTCTTGAAAAACGAATTTCATTTGATGAACAATATGCAAAAAATCTTCAAGATTTAACAACACATGCTAATCGTATTACATGGCCAGTAAATACAAATTCAATTGCACCGGTAAAAAGAAATAATATTATGAATGTACTATTTTATAATTGCAACTTTTTTTTTTTTTTGTTGTTATGAAAAAAGGTATGCCGAGAAATTTTTTTACAATGGTCTCAATTAGCAACAACAATAAATTCAAATACAGAACAATTTCGAAAAATTGTACTGGATGATTTACTTAAAGGATTTATTGAACAAAAAAATGATTCAAAAAAATTCTTAGATGATGAGAAACGTCGATATGATGGTGAACGTCGAAAGGTAAACCTCTCGCTCTTTTGTTTTTCGGAAAAAAACCTTTTATTTAAATAATAGAAAAAAGATTTTTATTTTTGGTAAGTTGCATGTTTATTAGACTCAAATAGAATGAATATTTTTTCCATCAACATAATTTCTTTATTAAAATTTTCTATTATTATAATTATTTAGGCTCAACGTGATGTTGCTGATGCTGAAAAACGTTATTTAGACGAAGCAAAATCATATGTTGCCAAGAATAATGAACTAACAAAACTTCAGAATAGTAAGTTGTTCTTTTAGAATAAAACAAAGCACCTTTTTTGATTACTTATGATAAAAAAAAAATTTGTCTATCAAGTTAAAAGAAAGAACAAAAAAAGAAGCAAATTTTTTTTTTCTTGTATAACACATTGAAAGAATATTACTTCGTTGTTACACTATAATCATATAAGAATATATTTTTATCACAAAAATACAACACACACATTACAATATTTTTTGTTTTTGCTTAGTTTATCGATAAATAGATATACTATGGATTATGTGATAAGAACAAAAAAACAACCAAAAATCAATAAGAACGGATGTTCACGTAGTTTTTTTTTCGATACCTAAAAATTTAATTCTGAGTACATGCTAAACTATTCATTATGATGATGTACATACTTATCGATTTTGATTTGTCCACATTAGAGCTCATCGGATTCGAATCCGAATATTCTTGGATCCGATGAGCTCTAATCCACACATATCTTGAAGTATATTAATGAATGAAAAAAAAAACCAACTAAGTAATACAGTAAATTCGTGTCTATCATCAAATAAACCTTGAAAACTAAAAGTTAAATATTGATTCAAAATTAATCTCGAATACATTTATTTAGATGCTCGTAAAAATGATGATTCTCGATTAAAAAATTTAAAAGATGTAGTTATTGAAAAACGAGGCAATGTATATCGTGCACATAATGATTATGTTCTTAAAATTCGTGAATATAATTTTATTGATAAAGAATATATTCAAAAAGTTCGAAATTTACTTATTTATCATGATGAATCACAATCGATTATTAATAAATCATGGTTAGTTTATATTTTATTCATTTTTATTTTTCTAATAATATTAAAATTTAATTACATATAGGCAAAGTTTACTTGAAGCTATGATTAATTATTTAAGTTATAAACATTCTGAATCAACTGCAACAATGGAATCATTACGAAGAATGATATCATCTCTTGATCCACGTCATTTCTATGATGAAATGTGTAGAGTTCATTCAAAGTTTGTATTTTCTTTTTTTTTTTGTTTAATTATTTTGAATTGTTTTTCTTAAAAAAAAAATAGTGTTACTCAAATAACAACTAATCCACAAGTATTTAATGAATTACTTCTACAAACATCAGGTTTAATAAAATTAAAACAAAATCAATTTATTGGTGATAGTTCAACAAAACAAGATTTAAAACAAAAGTTTCAAAAAAAAAACGAATTATTTACAAAAAAAAAAAAATTCTTTTTTTTTGTTTTTTGGTTCTAGAATTCATACATTAACTATGGGTATAAATGAACCAATACCAAAAATTATTAATTTTGCTCATGATAAACAAAAGCTAGTTAAATAAATTTTTCTTTTTTCATTTTTATTAGAAAAATTATTTTCTTTTTTTGTTTTAGTTTATATGATGAACGAAAAAATTTATTTACACAAAAACAATCAATAAATTTTGTACGAATGAAAAAAGGATGGGAAGAACAATTACGAAATGAATTAAAATCAACATTAAAAAATGCTGGATATAGATCAGATGATGAATCTAATGAAGATTCCGATGAAGAGGTAAAATAATTTAAAATAATTATCTATTTTATTTTTTTAATAATTAATATATTTAGTTAGCTGATCGACTTCAAGATCAACCTTATTTTCATGGTATTCTACCACGTAATCAAAGTGTTAGTCAATTAATACAAAAAGGAGATTATTTAGTTCGTATAAATGAACAAGGAAAATATGTTTTATCAATTTTATGCGCTGATCCAGATAATTCAAGTAAATTAAAAGATGGTCATTTTTTTATTCATGAACGAAATCAAGTAAGAAATATATTAAGATTTTAGAGATTCTTATTTTTTTTTTGTTTTTATTAGATGTATTCATTACAACCAGATGTTTATTCAAAACCATCTGTTCATGAATTAATTTCATTTTATAAAAGACAAAAAATTGAATTACGAGATGATGGTACACGATTAATTCGACCTATAGCAAGACCAGATTATATCATTAATAATGATGACGTTCGTATATTTGACACATTAGGAAAAGTAAGTCTATTGCTGATGTCTTTTAAAGCATTATAGCTAAATATAACAAAAAAAAAACAACCTATCTGAAGAATATTTTTTATGGCGAAATAAAAGAAAAAAAAGTCGGCAAAGCTACTTTGGTTGTAAATAAAATCTCATGTGGTTTATTAATTTATATGTATCAGGGAGCATGTAGAGAAGGAGTAAATAATTGAAATTTTCTTTAAAAACAGTATTTTGTTCGATTATATCCGATAGAGTTGCCTTCCAAAAGCTTTAAAATACAATTCAGTGACCTTATTTCCATATTTGTCTACTTTGTCGCAGATACTCATTGAATAGATCCTATACAAATCGCTTATTGTGTTGATAGTGTATAGTAAATTTCTCAACATGTCTAGTTCACTATGAAAATGTCAGATTTTCTATTCTCAAATACTAATCTATTGAAAATTTTGTTATGCGAAAAGACAATATTTTCTTCTTATATTTATGTCCTCAGATAGGAAATATTAGTCAGTCTAATACGTTCACTAATCTTATTGAGAACTTAATTTGTTCAATTTTTGAACTCGAAAGTTAAAGTTTCAAGATGATGTAAGGTAGAAGAACGACATTTAGTTTTAAAAAAATGACCATTACTCGAGACGACAGACTCATGATCACGAATTCCCGTAGGCTTTATCGATTCTCGATAGGAACTATCAGAGAGCTGCGGGTTAGGGATACACCAATTCCAATTCTTGGTTTGAAATTGGTCGTAATTGTTTGGAATTGGAATTGAAATTGAAATTGATCGGAATTGTTTGGAATTGGAATTGGTCGAAATTGGATTTTGTAAAATCACTGTTTTTGCACATATTTCGGTAAATTATCAGTCAGTTACCAATTTTTTCCAGACCAATTCCAAACCAAATCCAATTTCAACCAATTCTAGGAATTGGAATTGGTGCATCCCCACTGCGGATCCACGTTTTTGTGGACTCGTTCAGGTCTAGAAGGACCTGCAGTTTCCTAGGAACTATTTGATGAATTAAGATTCATCTCAAAAGCAATGTCTCATTTGACGAGAGCGCTTCCTCTTAACATAATCTATTGGCCTTTGACAAATATTTCAATTGAGTATCACATTCCGACTGAAAGACTTCATAAAATTGAATATATTATATAATATGATCAAAACACGTTCTGTTTTACTTAATTCTAAAATAATTCGTTATCTATAATTTAACTCATTCCTCTTTCTTCTTCGTTATTTGAATATTAATAAAACAATTTTTTTTTGCGTCACTTTATTAGACGTGACTTTTAGGTAGAAAAAATAAAACCTAAAATCGAAATGATGAGTAAAATATATCTAAACTATATTTTACTTATATCCAATACTTTTATTAATAGGGTCATTTTGGTCAAGTTGCTCGTGGTGAATTTCGTGGTAAACCTGTAGCTGTAAAAATTCTTCATGAATCATCAACAGCTCAAAATGCTCAAGCTCGAAAAAATTTTATAAATGAAGCTCTTTTACTTCAACAATATAAACATAAAAATATTGTTAAATTTCTTGGTATTGCTGCAATACATGATCCACTTATGATTATTATGGAACTTATTGAACGTATGTTAAAATTAAATTTGTTGTTTTTTTTTTGTTTTGATGTTGAAAAAAAAAAGTAATTTTCAAAATTTTTAGAAGGAAGTTTGAATAATTATTTAAAAAATAATGAATTACGTGTTCCACAATTAATTCAAATGTGTTATGATATTGCTAAAGGAATGGAATATTTAGAAAAACATAATATTATACATCGGTATGTTATTTATAAATAAATAAAAAAAAACAAAAGGAATAGATTATGAATTTTCTATTTTAGAGATTTAGCTGCTCGTAATTGTTTAGTTGATAAAAAAAATCGAATAAAAGTAGCGGATTTTGGTCTCTCAAGATGTTTACAATCAGATGAAGAATATTTTTGTCAGATTAAAGAAATTCCAATACGTTGGTGGGCTGTTGAAGTATTTTCAAATGGTTTGTTTAGTTATTTATTTTTTAACAGAAAATTTATTAATTTAATTTTTTTTTTCTTCTTCTTAGCACCATATACAAGTAAATCAGATGTTTGGTCATATGGTATAACTATTTGGGAAGTTTTTTCTAAAGCAGATACACCTTATTCACATATACCACTTAATCATTCTGTTATTGATGCAGTTAAACATGGTAAAAGAAATTGTTATTCTTCTTCTTTCTTTTATTTTATTTGAATTGATTAAGGTGAACGTTTAAAACAACCAGAAAAATGTCCATCAAAAATTTATACAATAATGATAACATGTTGGACTGTAGATCCAAAAGATCGACCAAATTTTGAAAGACTTGTTGAATTATTAAAAAAAGAAAAACCTTTATTTTAATTAAATACATATTTGTTTTTTTTTCTTTTTATTTAGATAAATTTTCTGTTTTTTTTTTTTTATTTTTGGTATGTTTTAGATATGCCACATTTACTTATAAGTACAAAAATTCGTCTTGAACCAGGTCCAACTATTGTTGGTGATGAACAAACAGATCCAGAAGTTATGGCTTATTTAGGAGCAAAACTTTTTCATGAAAAATATAATATTTAGTAAGTACTAGCAAGAGCCCGTGCATACTGCACGGATCCTTTTTCCTGTAAAGTTTCACATCTGTCCTTTAGCCTTGATTCGGTAATAGAGAATCAGGCAGTTCGCATTATATATATATCGAGAGACCTTATACCCTTGAAGTCTTACACCCTTGTAACCTTATTCCGTTATTCCTTTATCCCTTATATTCCATGCAGCCTCATCTACTTATCCGCTATACCCTTATCTCCTTATACTTTTTTAGTTTTATCCCTTATGTTCCTGCAGCCTTAGCCTCTTATCCCTTTACCCTTATAGCCCTTGAAGATCTATGGGTACCCTCATATAACAGCTCTTGAGAGCCTATGGGTATCTCCCATACAATAGGACTGGAGGGCCTAAGGGTATTCCAATATGGCAGCACTTATAGCCTTCCTCGTATAGCCTTATTTGACCTGGACACAGAGATGTCAGACAGATACTGAACATTATATATATATAGATAATATTGTTATACATATCATTTTAGATACTAATTGAAAGAATATTTTCCGAAAGATAGAATTCACTCCGATGAGTACTGTTTGGAGTAGATGCGTAAATCGATGGTTAGATCAGTAAGATTGTCAAAGAAAATTTTTTTTAAAAATAAATAACGAATACTGAAATGAATATTAGAAATATAATACTAATAACAAATGAGATAAGGATATCTTGTGAAAAAAATTCCGACTATTGAAAATTTATTAAAAATCATATACATAACGAGTGTCTAATAAGTTTTAATTCCATTTCAATTGATATTCTTTTCTCATATAGTTTTTTCAGTAGAAGAGACCGATATTTACAGAATATAACGCTGTATTATTATGGATCTTGAATAAAAAGTAGTTGTTTGAACGAGATTTAGAAAATTGAAATTTTTTAAACATAACAAAAAAAAACGTGTGTCAATGTTTATATATCTACTCTCTATTTTGATCTATCATTTGTTCGCATTTTGTTATGATAAACATTTTTCAATTCTGATTCATTTTCAAATCTTTCTCTGCTTAATTTTTCTGTAATTACACTCCAAACTGTCTCGATTGGTCAAACATCAGTAAATTTTGCAATATCATCTTTAGATTCAACATAATACATTACAACTGCAACGTCGAAACCTAAAATTTATTCATTTTTAGAGATTGATCGAATAACTACAATATTTTATCCATGCTGTTTGTAAAAAGTAATTCAAAAAATTCTTATGAATTTTATGTTACTCGTATCTCTGTGATTATCCGAAGTAATATCAGCCTATTCTACTGGAAAAACGTCTAAAAAAAAATATTAATTGAAGGTGATCAAAACTGATTAAACATTCTTTAAGAGAACCTCTTCCTTTTCAAGATTTCCGGAGCACGGTTCATTAGAAAAATTTGAAACTTTCAGGATAGATAAATTTTCAATGATTAGAGCAAAATTTGTCTTCGGCTCACAATTCCTAAATGCTTCCTTCTGGGAGATATCGGAATTGCAAAAGCTAAAGATCGCTCCTTTAATCGCCCTGCTTTCTTAGTCAGAAATACGTCCCATGAAGCTGAAACTTTTTTTCTACATACATTAGACATTGTTTGGGGCACCTAATATTTTCGGTTTCTTTTTATCTTCTTTCATTCGAATAAAAAGATCAAAATGCGAAGCGTACCTCGAAAAACACATGCTTATTTTTTATTAGAGCTTTCGTTTGTGAAATCTACCAAAAAATCACCAGAGCACTACTTTTCAAAACAAATAGGCGCTCACAACAGTGTCTAGTATCTGTAAAAAAAGGGCTTCAGCTCCATCGAACATATCGTGTCGGAGAAACGAAGGCGATTCTGCACTTTTTTTGTGTAACAATCGATTTCGAAAAAAAAAACGAAAAACAAAATTTTTCGTATGTATTAGAACTTTCTCTTTTTTCCAACCAGATTGATGGAAAACTGAACGCATTCAATAGTGTTACGGGTTTATGACCAATGCTCTAAACACCTTTGCAATGAGAAATAACCGTCCTCATTAGGGGGACTTTTAGATACAATAGAAAAATCATAGTACAAGTTTCCTAATAGGAATTTTGAAAATTGGATTTAATAAACGTACTAACTAACAACGAAGACTCCTAATTTATATGGCATTGCACAGAGAATACATCGTAGCTATACTAGCGATGAAAAACCAAAGATTCTTGTTTAGAAAGGGAGGAGTTCTACTTAAGCACCGACGATATTCTGGCAACAGAGTACCAATTGGAGAACAACTATTGATATACCGCGGTAGAATGGCGATCAGAGAATAACCAATTGGTTAAATCTCAAACTAACGTCGGTTGATTGTCGAAATACCGATGATTGTTTTACCACTAACGGCAAAACTGTCGATAGTGCGGACAAATATGAGACATTATACCGAATGGTCTACTGGCAATTTTTGTTTGCTCGAAATTACATGAATAGTTTGCAGCAATTGAATTGTATTAGAAATTGAAAATAAAATAAAATATAAAGTTCTTTGTTTATAATATTTTCAATTTGCGAAAACTATAGTCAATAAAACATTGACTAATTCATCAATAATTTTAATTCAATATCTTTGATCTGTTGTTGTATTGAATTGAATGAGTGATTATGAATTTGTCAAAAAAATTTAAAGAGAAAAAAATTAGAATAGTTTTCTACAAAATAAGACATGAAGAAGATTTGTATGATTTTGAATTCAACATTATTTTACATAATTATTCATTTTAGTTCAGAATATCGTACAGATGATTGTGCACGTATTGTTCTTGACAAACTTGAAAAAATTGGTTTTCGTGTTATATCCATGGCAGGTGTTGGTCAAACATGTATTTGGTTATTACATAAAGACTTAAACTAATACCTTGTTTTTTTTTTCTCAATTTAATCTCAATTTGGTGCAATGTTTTATATTTGTTTTTTTTTTTTCGAAGTTCTGTACTGTATTTGAGCGAAAAGTAGTGAATAGAGCCAAAAAAAATGAAATAAAGATAACCAATCAACACACACGCACACACAGAAAAAGAAAAAAGAGCACGAGCCTAAACAAACAGTGCACACACAAATAAAACCAACAGACATACACAAGCAACCCGGAAAAAAGTAGTCATTTTCTTGTATCGGTCATATGTCAAAAAATAGAGTTTTTCTTTTGTTCACTCACACATTTTTTTTTCATAAATGACTACAGAGAAACAAAACAAAAAAAAGAGCTATTGCAAACGTAGCATATACAAATAAATAGTAAAAACTAACGACATTCCCATACTTTAACTGATGTATCCACACTCCCAGTAATCACATATGGTTTATTTCGATGCATATCTAAAATACAAAAAAAAAAAAGAGAAAAGTTCAATAAGAAAAAACCAAGACAATAAATTTTATTCTTTACCAAGTGAAGTGCAAAAATGAGTGTGAGCATCGATAGTTTTTATATTTCGTTTATGTTTTATATCCCATACACGTAGAGTTTTATCATCAGAACAACTCAATAGATATTTTCCACCTGGATGAAAGAGTAGACCACGAACCCAATTATCATGACCAGTCTAATATAATAAAACAAAAACAAAAACAAAATTAAAATATTTAATATTATCATTTACTAATATAAATAAACATAATCCACTGGTAACTTCCCACATTCGTATTGTCTTATCACGTGCACCGGATACAAGGTAAGGACCAGAACGTTTTTGTGTCTATAAAATAAAATTCATTTATTAAACATTTAGAACATATGCAGAAATAATGACGGAGATATTTTAATTTCTTATAAACCACTTTTTCTATGCTCTAAAATTTATAGCCAATTAGAAATTAAAGAAAGAAAAGCGGCTATCGAGATTTATTTGAACTTATTCTATTGATAACAATAATACATTTTATCAACTAAGAACCTGCCTTTAGTCTAGTTTCTTTCGCTTGATAATAATATATATAACGAAATTTATAGAAAAATTTCCAAAAAAAAAATTCCGGAAGCTCCTAAAAAGAACATTAAGAAGAGAATATACATATAATTCTTATCGATATTTTTATCATTATAATATTAGTTGAAGAATGATCAAAATACTACAAAAATGTAGAACATTATTTTTACTATCAGGTCATATAGAAACAAAGTCTTTTCTTTTTATAAGGAATTAAAATATCTCCGTCATTATTTTTAAGATCTAAAAATCGAATACCTCAATTCCACCATTAGGAACAGGTTCTAATATATGTGGTCCAGCGGAATCAGGTGCCCAAGCAATACATTCAATAACATTATCGTGACCACGTAATTCACTTTTACATTCACCACTTGGTAATGACCATATTCTTATAGTCTATTAAATTATTTTATATATTTAATTTATAAAAATAAAGAAAAGTATACATGATCAACTGATGAACTTGCAATAAGTGTTCCATCTTGATAAACACGTACCATACGTACCCATTCTCGATGACCAATAAGAGTTTTAATACAAAATCTATTTCGTATTTGCTTGTTGTTTTTTGTTTTTATAAACTAAGAAAACTTACGCGGTTGATACTTCCCAAATTTTAATTGTTTTATCACGACTACATGATATAATATGATCACCACTAGGTGTAAATGTTACTGAAGACACGTTATGATCATGACCTAAGAATATAAAAAAATAAAAATAAAAAATATGTTTTATTTTTCTATCTTTCACCATGCATTGTTTTCACACATTGGTATGTTTGAAAATCCCATAATCGAACACTCATATCAGCCGAACATGATACTAAATTTAAAACAAAAAATTCGAATTTTTTTTTTATTTTAATCAATTAAAAATAATTTACCTAGCCATTTGCCTGTATGATCAAAAGCAATATCTTGCACCGGTGCTGTATGACCTTTTAATGTTCGTTCATGTTCACCTGAATCATAATCCCAAATCTATATATAATATTAATTGTTTTTCAATGAAAAATTATTGATTTTTTTTTTACTTTGATTGTAGCATCTTCACTAGCTGATGCAATAATATCAAAAGTTGGATGAAAGACAACATGTGTCACCGTATCACGATGACCTTTTAATTCAAATTTTTCAGGTGGTCGAGGTATCCATTCGCCAGGTGAACGTTTTTCTCTTGTTGGTCCACCTGTTGTTACTTCTTGAAGTGCGTCTTGTAGTTTTAACTCGAGGTCCATAACCTTTAAAATATAAGTCATATTTCATTCTCATAAAAATAGCTCTTAAAAATTCTTTAATCATTAATTTTTTAAATGTAAAACAATAAGAAATCATTGCTATGTATTATCTTGATACAATATGATTTTTTTTTCTTACTTTTTTCTGTAATCGTATAACTGAAGTCCATTTTTTTTCTAATTGATCTTTTTTTTCAGCATTTTCATTTATGGACTAAAATATTTAAACGAAAATTGAATAAGAAAATTTGAAACAAAAAATTTTTTGTTTTGTTTTACATACAATATTTGCTTCTCTACAAAATTCTTTACATGCTACAGTATAACCATTTGTTATTAGATAATCAGCAATAGCTTGATTACTAAATATTAATATGCATATTTAATGAATAACGATAGAAAAATCTCATTCAATCAATCTTACAGTTCATATTTTTGTTTTTCAGAAAGAACCATGATGAGTAGTGACACATAGGCAATCAAAAATTACTTGAAATTATTTTTTGATAGAATATTTTCATTATCTAAAATTTTGTTATATAATTATAATTAATAAGTAAACTACAATCACTGTTTAAGCAAAGCAAAAACAAAAACAAAAAAACAAGAAAATAGAAATATTTATTTACAAAACAAGAAAATCTTCATCAGAATAATAATCTGGTGGTGGTTCATTATTATTTGGTATAATTGATATAACAGCTGGTAATGATCGTTCAATAAATAATGATTGTTCACGTCTTGAACAATTATCAATTAATCTAAATTTTTAATTTTATTTAAAATAAAATCGAAAGTCAAAAAAAAACGCAAATTTCAACATATATAGCCTGGTCCAATAGAGTAAGTGAACACAGAATTTTGATTAATTAGATTTATACGATATATATTATTACTCATTTTAAAAAAGAATGGATTCAGTTGTTTGTTGAATAACTCAACAACACTGATAGCTATCGAATCATTTAACAAACAACCAAGTTCATTCTTTTTTGAATTTAATTTTGATAGAAACTACAGTTTTTACCATTGAAAAGCATCGAATCAAAGATTATATATGTTTTCCGAAGTTATTTTTTTAATCGAATTTGTAAAAAGTGTCAAAAAAATGGTTCCTTTTAACATAAGAAAAACAAAAACAAAATTGTAATTTTTTTTCACATCGATTTCTTGGAAATTTCGACTAGAATACATACCTAATAATTCGAAAATTCACTATAATCATCTCACAGATTACATTGCTTTTCAAAAAGGTCGATTGAAAACTTATAATAGACAAATCGAAGCATCTTCATCTCAGCTCTCTATCTTGTTTCTCTGAAATTAACAAATTTCTATGTTCTCTTACTTTTAGGTAGAGTTAATCGGATTTTCACTCTACTTTTGAGTCATTCTATATTAAAACAGCTATAACTCAAAAATTGAAATCTCTAATGTTATAAAACTTTAATAAAGAAAGAAATCAATTCACCTTTCAAAATCTTCTTCATCATATGTTGGATATTTTCTTAAAAGTGTAAATGCAATAGCCAACAATAGAAAAATATTTGATATAACAAGAAGATAATATGCTAAATCAAATTGTACTTCAATTTTTTTACCAATTTTTAAACGAGTTTTATCTTGTATATCATAAATTAATTCTGATACATAAAAACAAAGACTAAGTACCAATATACAAAGAAAAACTACGACAAAAAAAGAAAAGAAAAGAAAATTAAATAATGAATCATATATTTTTTTTTACCTGATAAAATATACCAAAAAGCATGACGTCTCATAAATTTAAATAAATATTTTGTTGGTCCTAATGAATCTAATAAAAATCCAATTGTTGATGATATTATTGCTAAACAAATAAATGTTATCATTAAACGAAATATTAATAATGAACGTTTATCAATACAACCATTTAATTCTAAATATAGAAAATCAAATTTTCCTTTTTTTTTTTTGATCTTAATCAATAAAAATATACCCATATAATTATTTGGTTTAAATTGATAAATATCATTCATTGGTGCTGATGTATCCCATGGTATAGGAACTTGTATAACAAATAATTTTCCCATAGAAAAAAACATATTTAAACCAATATATTTTAAATTACATAATCCACCATGTAACCAAAACCAACGATAATCAAATAGACTTATAGTTAATGTTGCTATAGCAAACATACTACATATAGCTGATGCCTGATTTCGTTCATATTTTCTTCGAAGAAAAATTTCTTCTCTATTATTATTAAATTGATTAATATTTGTTGATAATGTTAAATAAGATTGTAAACGTGAAAAGAATCTATTGGAATTTGATGATGACGATGACATAAAAGGAAATTATTAATATTTGTTGTGTATTTGTTTATTTCCTTAATATTTTAGAGATTAGTTATTAACACCATTATAAAGTTATTTTATCTTTATCTCAACCCTCATTTAAATTGATTCAATATTTTCATTGGATGATTTAAGTGAATGTCTTTAATTGAATGAAGACAAGACGAGTGAGTGAGTGAACCATTCGTCATTCGAAAAAGTTTTTATTTATTTCTTATCTATTGGTTAAAATATTTTATCCAAAGATTTTATATGATTACAGATGGCAGTATATTTATGAATAAATTTTAATTTTTATTATTTTAGATTTAGTTTTATGATACATTTAAACGACAATAACAATAAAAATTTTTTTTTTGGTGAGAAAAAGATGAAAAGAATCAACAGTGCAAACAATTGACAACTTGAATGATCTTTAATTTGCAATGAGATAAAAAAAAAAAAAAAGGTGAGATAACTAATTGATTATGTTATCTGTGATGTATAAGAACGTGTAAAAATGTTTCTCAAGGATAGATAACATGATGATTTTAAATAGTATTAATAATGAAAATACATCAAGAAAATAGGATTTGTTAATATTACTAAATCTAATTCACTATTATGTATATATAAATAATCAATAATCAGAATGAAGAACATTAGCTTTGTTTTTTTTTACAAGGATAATCGCAGAAAGATTATTTTACGAGACATTTCTTCACCATCTTTTTACGTCATACTCCAGAAATACAATATGGAAGTAGTTCATATATTATAACGAGACGTTATTCATATACAACTTGTACTGGTTTGGATGGGGGAGGTGGGGGCGGACATAATCTTTACTTCTGTACTTCAATACTACTTTTAAATCCTGTTTCACAATATATATTATAGAAGACAGAACATACTATAACCAGATTCAACATCAAAAGGTGAGTTGTCATTTTTTGAATAACTTTCGATAGGAACAAGATAGAGACCGACGATTTGCACTGTTCGAAAGAGTGATGTCTGGACCATCGATTTGTATAAAACTCATTAAGGCAAAAGATGGTTTTTTTTTATAGATGCTTTTGGATTGGTACTATTTTCTTTGCATATCTTCACAATAATCTCAAGTCAAATTATATCAAAATGTAGCTCAAATCATTCTTTTATCACTATAATATTATCACATATTTCATTATCTCTCAACCTCTTATTCCAAGCGGATTTTTTAAAAAAAAGTGTGATAGTTTTATAGCAAAAAAAAAGGGTGAGTTGACTTACATTTTGATATAATTTGAGTCGAGATTATTGTGAAGATTGATGAAAATATGCAAAGAAAACAATATCGACCCAAAAGCACCTATAAAAAAAAACCATCTTTCGACTTAATGAGTTTTATACAAATCGATCGCCTGAACATCGCTCTTTCGAACAGTAAAAACAACATGTTTCATATGTTTTAATAAACATTGAATTAATTTGAAAGTTTTCGTATTATACAGAAAGCTAATATTCTTCATACTAATTACATTCATCATTTTGAATTATTTAAATTGGCATATGAAAGGAATTTTTTCTATCAATAAGATATAAAATTGTGTAGAAATTTCTTATCATTATCCTTGGTATCTAAAGCTAATAAATTCTATTTTCTCGACGCTAAGATACCTTTACATCTGTTCACTATCACTGAACTTACAATTTTGACTGATCGCCTCATTTCTATTAGTCTACCGTGTACGTGTAATCAGAGTACAATTTTTTTTAAGCACTTTGACTGCAGAGAAGTAAAATATTCGAACATTTAGTTTTATTTACATCTAGATGTGCTCGTCGTATGGTATTGTATTGCGAATAATATCGAATGACGTTCAAAGTTATTCATATACTTGAAGAAAATAATTAGACTTCGATTTTCAACAAGTGTATAACAGTTAGTATAGTATATTTGTACTAAAGTTTCAACTTGATTCATAGGTAAATAATTGTTATTTGATTGTGCATTTCACTGCTTGATATTATATTAAAATGCAAAGCTATTAATGTTGAAAAATTTACATTCAATATTATATAAGAACTATCTGAAAAAAATTTCAGTTAAGCTGAAACTCATAATCTTTCTTCTTTTGTTTTTGCTTAAAACAATTAGTAACAATTTCTATATGATTAGTCTTAAATTAGTATATAAATAATATAAACAATAATTTTTGTATTCTTATTTTGAATAATAAAAAAAAAAAGTATATGATAATATTCTCATATTATAATTAATATTTTCTTATTATCCAAAATATGAACATTCTAAATTTCATATCTAATGAATAAATATGAAGGATTATTAATCTATTAATGATATTTATTATAATATTGATATAACACATGTATACTGTTTTTGTTTATTCAAAAGACATCTGGATGTTGATGATATATTAGTATATATATATATATATCTAATACAAATGTATATGTATCGAATGCAGATGAAAATATATGGTCATTCAGGTGTTGAAAACATCGCATAAATATAAAAATATCATCAGATACCTTATTAATAATAGTGTATACTATAAAAGAACAAAATAAAAACATTGCACGTGTTTATCAATATGTAAATGAAGTATATATGTGAAAATGACGGTAACGAATGAATGCATGTAGAGGAAAAATGAAAGGTACTAAAGTCATTTGTTACTATTTTTGATAGCCATTTCTGTCTCTATTTTTCATAACGTCATTAGTATATATATATATATATTATAAGAAAAAAAAACAAATTTCTTCTATTTAATAATAAATAATGAGTATAAACAATGATAATAGAGGACAATATCAAGTTGTTAATGTAAATAATAATATAAATGATTGTTCATCAACAGATGGATTTCGTTTTGTTAATAAAAATGGTCATATTAATGCTAATTATTTTTCTTTTGGACGTACAAAACAAATGCATTCAAATATAATTTTATTTGTTATACAAGCTAAATGGTGGCTTGTATTATCAATTACTTTATTTGGTTTTATATCAAGTTGGTTTATATTTGCATTTCTTTATTTTCTTATATCAATTGAACATGGAGATTTTGTTTTAACTGAAGAAGATGAAGCTTTATTAGGAAATCTAACAAATTCTACTTATAGAACAACACCAATTGAAAAAGAAGCATGTGTTAAAGATGTACATAATTTTTTAAGTGCACTTCTTTTTTCTATTGAAACTCAACATACAATTGGTTATGGTTCACGATATATAACAACAGAATGTATGGGTGGAATTCTTGTATTAACACTTCAATCATCATTGGGATATTTATTACAAGTTATTGTAACACAAATTGTATTTAGTAAATTATCAAGACCAGTAGGTAAGATTTTTGTATTTCACTTTCAACATGTTGATAACAAAAATATGAATCCGTGAGTACTTACGAAGAAACCTCTTCAGCGGTCCCTTTCCAATTTCAATGATTTTTTTTCCTATAGATACTACATAGTATTTTGATAAAGACCCGAAAAAGATTTGGATTCCTATTGCTTAGTGTCTCTTCAAGATATGAAGCTTTCAAAAAATGTATATTGTATATACTATTTGTGGAAAAGGGTCTATATCATTATCGAAGAGACTTTATTGTAAACTTATGAATTCTTTTTTATGGAATCTAGTCCAGTTGAGTTCTCTATATATACAGTATTTCAGATCGAAATTCGAAAATACGAATTTTTCAAAAATCTGGAGCCTCCAAAAAAAAAAATTTCAAATCGTTTTAGAATTTTTATTAGAACACTATGAAGTATCTATAGGCAAATAAATCATTGAAATCGGAAGGAAGAAGCTTAAGAGATTCCTTCGTTAGTCTTATGTTATCTACACAATCATGACTGTTCTTAAACATAGGTAATTGATAAACAGAAAACATTATTATGAAGAAGCAATATAACGTAGTGTAATGCTAATAAAGTATTATAAATTTGATGAAGGAATGTTTTCAATCGGTAGAAAACATTTGAGCTCAAAATTCATCTACAAGAAGGAAATGTGTAGACTAGAAAAAAAAAACAAAAAAACTTGAGAGTTGCGATTTAATTACAATATGAAGTTTTCTTGGAGAATCTCAGTTTTATAGAAAAACCGAACTAAAGAATTATCATGTCGAACTCTATACATGAGCTATGTGGATAAAATTTGATTGCAAAAAGTTTGCGTGAATTAAAAAAAAAAACATATAAAATTATTGTCATGATGAAAAGTACCTTTTCTCTACAAATTGAAAAATCTTTTCGAAGCTTATAGGTCTCTTAATATGAAATGACTCCGATGGTACAAATAAGTTCGAATGACTCTGGGATGATATTTCGTATGATTAGGAGTTTTTATGATGAAATAATTTTTTTTCTTTCTTTAAATAATTTCAATTGTTTATCTCTATATATGAATGAATTAAGTTTTAATATTTTAGAAAAATCTCAATTTGTGGTTTTCAGTGATAAAGCACTTATTCTCCCACGAGATAACCAATTGACATTAACATTTCGAATAGGTATATTAAAATTATGATATAAATTTAAATAAATAATTTTATTATTAATATAGGAAATTTATCAGTTTCACAATTAATATCTGCCAGTGTTCGTTTATTAATGATTCGTCAAAGACAAACACTTGAAGGTGAAATAATTCCTCATCATATCTATGATATGGAATTAACACATCTTCGTAATGGTCGTCTTTTTTTTCCTCGACCAACTGTTGTTGAACATACTATTGATAGTCATAGTCCATTATATGGTATTCAAAGATCTACATTAGAAAAAGAACATTTTGAAATAATTGCAATTATTGAAGGTGCTTTTGATCACACTGGATTTTCATGTCATTTTCGTACATCTTATCTACCTAATGAACTTTTATGGGGTTATCAATTTTCATCATGTGATTCAACACTTGAAGGTTTTGATTATAAAAAATTTAATCAAGTTGAATTAGTCGATACTTATCCGTTGTGGATTTATGACGATGAACAAAGTGATGATCGAACAAGGCCGAATACACCATGCAGTTCACCTGTTATTTATCGTAATCCTTTTGTTCGTACAAATCCAAGTAGAACAAAACAACAAAGTTTAATCTCTAAAAATCGGATTCAACATCTGACAACTATTGATTCAATTGATGCAGACGATGAACTGTAGAAACACCTCCATTAAAATCCAGTCATGTTTTCACTGAAAAATTTAATTTTGAATGAATAAATAAAACAAGAAAAAAGAATTATAAAAGATCGACATATCACAAAATGTCTCATGATTCATTTATTATACAGGGTAGTCCAAAAGTTGCCTACCAGTCTTAAATTGCGAATAACTTTTGATAGGAATAAGATAGAGAACTACGGTTTTTAGCGTTGGAAAGAGAGCGTTTCACTACACAATTCCATGTGTTATTCAACATTGTTGATTGATCACAAAATAATCGCTCAGTGATCTTCGAAAAAGCCGTGGTAGTTCTGCAAAGACAATATAGGGTAGGATGACCGAAAAATCATTCAACAATCTTTAATAGCTGACAACTTTTATTTCTGTTATATCTTCATTTCAAATTTAGCATCTATATTGAATAATTTTTTATTCAAAGAGATACATATTGTGATCAGTTAATAGTCTTGTTCGAAATGCAAGCCGTCAGCTTGAATGTACTTGTGAAGGCGGGATTCGGGGGACCGATAGACTTTCTTGCACAAGTCGATTAAAATCTGTTGAAACGCGTTAACAATCTCATTTTGCAATTGATGAATCGACGTTGGCTTCTTTGAATAAACCGCGTCTTTGACAACATCCCATGAAAAAAAATCGGACGATCTGGGAAGTCATTCGACTGGGCTACGACGACCTATCAATCTGCCAGGAAACATCTCGTCTGAATATTCACGAACAATCCGGCTGTAGTGAATCGGAGCACCGTCGTGCTGCTACCAAAATTCGTTCAAATCGGGCTAGTCAGCTATTGCGAGTTGAAAATAATCCTGTAACATTTCTACGTAGTTCTCACCAGTCACAGTGGAACTAAAGAAAAATGAACCGAAAACACTATACAATTATAGGCCTATCCAAACAGAGATACCAGGCATGTTGAAGTTTCTTTCGATATCGATTTCAGGATTTTCAGATGTCCAGTAAATTGAGTTATGCCTGTTGATGTGTCCATTAAGTTTGAAAATTGCTTCATCTGTCCAAATGATTTTTTCAAGAATACAGTTATCTTCTTCAACCATTACCAGAAGTTTTTGCAAAACTCAACTCTTCGATCAAGATCATCATCATTTAACTGTTGCACTAAGCGAGGACGATGTGGGCGCAAATGCAAGTCAGATAACATACGTAGAATTGACGTTTTCGATATACCAAGCTCCGATTCAGCACGTCTTGTTGATGTTGTAGAATCGTTGGAAAAAATAGATTTAACAGCAGCTGTATTTTCTAGTGTTCTAACAACAGCTGACCGCCTTGATCTTTCCTTATCATCAACTGTACCGTTTTCTTCAAATCGATCACCAATATTTGCAATAGTATGACGATCGATTTGACGATTGAATTGTTCATCAAAACGGTGACATGTCTCGCTCTTGTTATTTGTTTGATAAAAAGTCTTGACCAGAAATACCCGTTGTTCCGTCGTAAGCCTTTGTCCGACACCTTCAGTCATCACCAGATTTAACTTAAGATGATGCACGAGCCGAGCCAGAAATAGAAAACACTAGATAAGAGTATTAGCTTTATTCTCTTCACTAAAGAAAATCGAGACATTCGTACGAAAAAAGAACAAAAAACAAAGAAGTTACAATAATATGCTTCCCATCCCTTTTTTAAAAACATTCCGTTCTCTTCATATCTTACTACTTATCAGTTTTTCATATCTATCAAGAGGAATGTATTCACAAAGAATGAAACACGTGCTAAGAGAGCGCGTGAACAAGAAACTTTAGTGATAAAGAATCGACTAGAAATATATGGCCGACGATCATAGCAAAAAGATACCGAAAAAACTTTATTTACAGAAGGAGGAATTTTTTTTGAAGATCTTTGAGCGATTATTTTGTGATCAATCAATAATGTTGAATAAGACATGGAAGTATACAGTGAAACGCCCTCTTTCCAACGCTGAAAATCACAGTTCTCTATCTTAATACCTATCAAAAGTTATTCGCAATTTAAGACTGGTAGGTAACTTTTGGAACATCCTACCTATATAGATCTGTTTTTATTATAAAATATTCACAAGGAAAAATTTGCAGATTTGACTTTAACTTGCCTCACTCCACCTTGTTTAGACCCCTGCTGTAAAACACAAAAAAACTAAAAACAAAAGTTATATTCAGAAATCTAAACTGCAAATTTAGAAACTCTTACAGATTTAAGATAAAAACATCATGATTCATTATTTTGTATAAGATTTGTTAGAAAGAAAGAAAACACTTAAGTAATAAAAGAAGAAATAAATCGATTGTTTTTATATCTTAGATTCATGTAAATAGAGACGAAAGAAAACATAAAAATTTTTTTATTGTTGTAAATATTTTTCTAACTTTTTCATTCACTGAATAAAACGAATGCTCTTAAAGAATTTTTTTAAAGGTTATAGTATTCTTCTAGGATGTTGTTCTAATCGTGAACCTTGATGAATTTGCAAAATAATCGAGTCATATTCTTCTTGGTGGAAATCAATAAAAGGTCTTTTATTTCAAAATCAATAAATAAAATAACTAGAATAATGAAATTTTTGTAATTTCCAATTTATTGAAAGTCATAAAATCTTGCTGCAAGATAAAACTAAACATTTTGCTCAGGAATCGATAATTATATTGAAAAATTTTTGAATATATTGGCATGTCAGAAGAATTATTAATTAATCGAGATTATAAAGAATAACTAACTTCAATCGTTGAAAGCAATCTGATTAGATATTCATGATGTTTCTGTCAAATCGGTAGAATGGTCTGCAGTTCAGATCCGGCCATGTGATGATCTTGAATACTTCAAATTTATTAAACTCCATAAACTTTATATTTGTGTCTTATTCTGATTTCAGCTATTTACTTAATTTATTGTAATAAAGGTAACGATATAACAAGTTCCTTGCACAAAATAATAGGCACAGCTTTACTTGAAACACGCCATAGAACGGAAAAGAAAAATTACATGTTGAAAAAAAAATACATCGAATGCCACAATTGTCATCTGCAGCAGCCATCTGTTTATCATTTTCTTTTTTTCTGTGAGCTGACTTAAAATACGAGTTATTCTACTTTTCCACTCTGTAGTGATGAAGACCTACCTGCAAAAATATGATGTAAAATCATCAAGTAGAAAAACTTCATAAGAATGACCATATATTACTTTTTGTTCATTGACTCTTTTGCAAAATATTCAAAAAAAAAAAAGATTTGATATCTAACATTTTAGAATAGATCAAGTATAATATGTTATAAAAATCTCAAAACGTTGTTGTTCATAAATATATTTAATTTCATCGGATTTCTGGTTTTTTCTTTAGGAATAAAAATATTTAAAGAAGATTTTTGGATTAGTCAATGATACTGTTTTAATATTGATGATTACTATTTCTGTTTTGATAAGAATTTTTTCTCGTTAAAATTTCATTTCTTAATTTTATCAAGTCTCAATTATTAAAAGACAAGAAAAAAAGGAATATTAAAAATTTATTTTATTTTATTTTATTTTTTTTTATAAGAATTATCGAAAATAAAAATGTGAATTAACTTATTCATTTACATTTTATAAATACTAAAGGTCTAATTGATTAATTTTTCTTTTTTTTTGTTTAACTAAAAGAAATTAATATGAGACAAAACAAAAAAAAACTAAAATAATAGGATTATTTTGACGAAAGTAAATTTGTAGTTGAACGAATATTATGTTCATCGATTTCAATTTGAAATGAACTTATCGATGGATATTGTTGATTATTTGATGTTGATGAATATTTTTTTGATCGATGAAATTCTAATGATTTTCGTTCATTAATATTTGTACTCATATCACTTGGTAATTCATGTTCATCACTAATATAATTATCTTTTTGTTTAATAAATATTAAAAATAAAATAATAAGAATAAGAATTAAAATACATAAAAGACTAAATATTGATGTTAAATGACCCATAGAAATAAATAATCCAAAAGGTAGTATTGACTTTGTATGATTATTCATGATAATGATTGTCTAAAGAACAAAAAGAGGAAACAAAATCTAAGACAATTATTATTACATTCTCTAGCAGGCATTGTTTATTGCATGACAAATGAAATATGTCGAGAAAATCTTTTATTCATTAGTAACAAAGCAAAAAAAGAAAAGAAAAAGAAAACGAAATGATTGTCAAGTCAAGTTTGATCAACAGAGGAATTGTTTTGATTTGTAAAAAAGAAAAAAACAGGCAATGAATGTCATATATATATTTATATATAATTAAAAAAGATTTGATCATATGTTTATGATGTAAGACATATCATATTTAAATAGAGAATATGACTAACGAATATAATATATATTCATCTTAAATATTTTAAATGAATTTTTTTTTTTTTATAAATTAAAAATATAAAATAAGAAAAAATAAATAGAAATGTGTTTTTTTTTTGTTTTGTTCTTTCCTGGAAAAAAAACATAATTATATCCGTTCTTGAACTTGAATTCCATAAGGATTTGTTCTATTATTATCAACATTTCATGTTAGAAGATGAAAGTATTTCTTTTAGATATAATAGACAATCAAACTTATGCTTTGATCTAAACTTGATTTTAGTTGAGTGTAATCATCATCTTAAATTTTATCAAGAATAGAACTTTTTATATCGAAATTTTAACAAAAATTACTTTTTCGACAACAAAAAAAAAATAGGGAATTTTTTGCAAATAAGATTTTTTTTTAAAAATATTTTCGCACCGACTGAAATTTAATTAATAGGAAATTTAATTTTTTCGGTCAGATGCATCTGTAATTACTATTTGTACTCTACTGTAAATAAAATTTTTTATTTGTTATGAAGTTCCGCAATATGAAAGCGACTGTTATTAGAAAATAACATTTCCTTTGATATTCTTCTTTGAACCATTTTCAAAATAATAATCATTTGACTTTCTGTTTGAGACATGAACTTGACTTTAGTTCTTATGACAAATGTTTTCTATCTAATATTATGTTTTAACATATGCTGTTTGTTTCTTCTTGAAATAAATAATTGTTCAATCAACCAATGAGTCGATCTCTTTTCCTTTTGTTGATCGATAGAGTAACAACTATATAATACTCTAATGTTCAATGATGGTTTTTATTATGAATGAAAAGGTATGATCAAAGCCTGAAAATTATTTTGATCATAGAATATAACTAGAATTTTGACTTTATTTTTTGTTCTCTTATGAATGCTTTGATTTACAGAAAAACATGCTGGTCTTAGAACGGCTCGTGATCAAACTTCCTGATGATAATCATGATTGAAATTTTTGATCATTTGATTTTTGTTTTCATTTCGAGACTCATCCTCAGTACTTTTCAAAATGTCTCTGAGGTATATTTGTATACTTCAAAAGTTTTCTCTAATATTCTTCATATGATAAGCTTTATATATCTCTGTAATTGTTTGTAAATTACAAAATCACTTAACAATAAAAAGACTATTTTCGAGAGCGATTATTACCATTAAAAAGAATGTCTGTCGATATTGGTTTAAAGTAATATAAAGTGTAAACTCAAAAGTATCACTCGATAAATTTAGTTTTACTATATATTTTAAAACAATAATATAGTAACAGAAATTCATAACACATCACAATAATTTGTTTATTTTCGTTGAAAAAATTAACTGAAGACAAAATTCTTTGAAAAATATTCAAATTTATTATAACTATATGAAACTTTACGTCAAACTAAACGAATATTAAATAGATGTCAAACGATTGTTATATTAGATTTATCTGAACTTCAAGATTATGATTTCCATTTATATGGTGATTATTTATTAATAAAGCAGTATCGAAGAAAACAAGAAGAAAAGATTGAAGAGATAAAAATCTCATTAGATATACGATTTCATAGATTGATAGATTGACTACTAGATTAACAAAATTAATCAAAGATAAGAAGAAATGAAAATAGAATCACTAGAATAAGTGAGTTTGTTTTTTTCAATATTATTTTTCGATCAGATTTTAAGCTATATATTGATGTTACCGAGACAGAAAATCTTCTTACAGAATACCGATAGAAAATATTAAAATTACAAGAAGTCAGCTACTTGAATATTCTGAATTACCTAAACATATATGTCTGTATTATATTCATATTCTGATGTAAATCATGAGTTTAAGTATGCGGCAATTTAACAACATCTTTTCCTTCCATGATCGTCTAATACACTGCACTATCTAATTCATGCTTATTAACAATAAGATGTATTCGATTATATTGCATATTCCCAAAGGCGACCATTACTATGAGATTTTTATAATAGCATAGTCCAAAAATCGCAAAATCATATAACTTTTATTCCAAGAAGAATACAAAATGCATTCATATAACAAAATATTTTATATGAGAAAAAGTCACGCATTACAAAAAACAAAAACAAAAGAAAAATAATTGTCTTGTCTTAAAGATATTAGAAAAGAGATATTTATATCTTTGAAAATGTTCCATATTAGAGATTGTGACGTGACCTAGTCAATAAAATAAAAATAACATGACCATCCAAGAGAAGTTGTTGCCATTGCACCTGCGAATACACAAATACCTGAACCGATCGAATAGCCAACAAGAGTTAATTGAAATATATCCGCAATGAAAAGTGAACCAGTACGAATTGCTATACTTACTCCTTGGTGAATACGATTTACTGCTTTGAACGAGTCTGGTGTTCGATTGGGATCAACTGAAAAACAAGCCAACATTCGATACATCCATTCTTGAAAAAAATTTATAATTATAATATCAGCAATAGGAAGAAGTGATACGGCTGCTGAAGCTGTAGAAAAAGCAGCAATAATTTTATTGGCAATTGATTGTCGATATTGACTAATATAATCAAGATTTTTATCAATAATTTGTGCATTTAGTGGTGATACAGCATTAATATTTAATCGAAGTTGATTGATGTCATAATTTTTCGTAGTTGATACAGGAATACATTTAGTACTTGGAATAATCAAATACTTATTTACTAATTCTAAAGCTTTTCTAGTGTATTCTTCGATTTTTTTTACATCAGTATCCGAGCTAGGCAATTGATTATCGAAATATTCATCGATTTTATTGAGTACACATATAACAGGTATCTCAGTATCGTAAGATTCTCTTTTCATCCAATTTAGAACATTATTGACGTCATCTATAATGTTCTTCAGAGACGTTATATTGTTGAGTTCTTCTTTTGTGACAACCAAAATGACAGCATCAGGAAACAAATCTGTTTGCATTTGCTCATTGTATCTTTCTACCAAATCAGGATCATCTGTTTGTAAATCAAATTTTATTATATCAACGAAAGTAGCGTTCACTTCTGCTACAGGTATAACTTGAAAATTTTCTGTACCAGTCATTTGATCATTGCTAACTTTGTATATTTCTTTTTCACAGATGCTATTGATTAAACTTGATTTATCTGCATTAGTATCACCAAGACAGTAACAAATGTTTAATCTGTTTGAATTCAATGTTTCTTGTAGACATCCGAGAGTAGTAAATAATTCATTGAACAACTTTTTCGGCACCGAATGATGTGATTTGACTTCTTTTTTCATATCATCAATGACTTTTTCGATGTTTTTAACTAATATTTCCAACTCTTTAGTTTTTGTATTGTCATTTGAATCAGTTGGCAGAGACTTAACATAATTGAAATTTGATGTAAATTGTGTCATCTCCGATAATGTGTTACTCATTGTTAGTCGCTGGTATGTATGGGTGAGATAGAATAAATAATTGCTGAAGCTTTATGAAGTAGATATTATTTATCATTATATATAGGTGAGATATGTTTTGTTATTTTCCATAGGAAAAACTGTTATCATTTGGATATTATGTCATTCTGACAAGTGATATCTTATTACTTTTAGTGATGTTATTAAATGAGATAAGGAAAAAAAGTAACAGCTGCAAAAAAAAGTACTATGTACTTTATTCTCATATATCGTTGAAAGAACTAAGATGACTCTTTAATTGAGAAAAAGAAGACTTTGGTTAACAATAACTAACATCTTTTCACCTGCGCAGTAATGTCGAAGAATCAAGTGTTTTGACTGAAAAATGGACTTACAGTTGACCTTAAGTATTTTTCAATTCTTTTCATAAATGCACGCAGTGTAAAAAGGTGAAACTTTGTACTTAGATATGTTTTTGAAAGGTTTGACCAGCATAGTCACATTCAAGTGAAAAAACTAAGGGAAAATGGTGAATTTCGTACTGCTCGAATTTTATGAATTCTCATCGTACTTCAAATCCATATTCATTTCTTTTTTCCAGATCTTAGATTTTGTTTCAAATATGCATATATCGTCAAGCTTCTACAAAACTACCTGCGTTGTCATTAGAATTCTACAAAATTATCACTAACATAAGGATCATGGCAACTGCTACAAAATGCTCTTCTGTTTCTTCTTGTCCTATTGATGAAAGAGCAATTAGAAGAGTGCAGGTGTCGGTGTTGAGTGTGGGAGTATTGGTTATTTGATGCTCATATTCACACCCTATTTTATTTCCTCTTCGATTACTTTTTAAAAGATATGAACAATTAAAAATCGAATATGATAAAACATGTTGTGGAATCGATTTTTTTGTTTATTCGAGGTTGAATTATAAAATATAAGAGAAAATCTTGGCTAATTAACATCATTAAATAGTTTTGTTTCAACAACTGCAGATGAACAAATAGTAGAAGTTCTTAGTTCGAGTGAAAATGTATTAGGAACAGTCAATTCATAGATGAAAAAGAAGTTTTATTCATGGCTGGATCGATATTTGAAATTAAAAATGTGACTTTCTGTGATTCTATTCATATGTGGATAATTGAATTACAATTGTGTGATGATGATGTCTACGAATTGAATCAAGTTTATCAATTAGATAAAGCTAAGAAATATTATCAATGATTACTTGATGAAGGATCAATAAATGAAAGTACATCTACTGATCTTATCGTTAATTATTACTGGAGTTTAGGTAATGTCAATCGAAAACAAGGTGAATTTGATATTGCATTAGTTTATTATTGTTCAGCGATTGAACTGTGTCCAGATCGATTCGTTTTTTTTTGGTTCGTAGTTATAAATATATTAGCCTAGTATATCTAGGCACTCATTCCATTAAAAACGCTTTAGAATATCAAATAAAACCATTAAAAATTCGATAAAAAATTAATGATGCTAAAGATCAAATAGAATATACTTTATATAATCTAGGCATAACCGATTTGGTCAACTTAGGCGAGTTTTAGATTATCTTTTACAAGCATTGAATGTACTGTACACCTCAAAAGTTTTTCCCCCTTTGTATTTTTTAGTTTTTATCACTAGACCTTTTTAATTTATTAACTTCCTATGTATAGAAAGAAAGCCCAGAACGTGCTGCATCTTATGGTATATTTACATCGAACAACAAATGCAGTCTGAAGTATAAAAGGTGTATTAGAAAAAGACGTTACATTTTTTTTTACTGCAAAAATTGTTCAAAATCTTAAAATGTATGAAGAGTAACTAGTTATTAGGATAATTTTTGATTGAAACATGATAGAGATCTGCGATTTTCACTGTTAGAAAGAGGACATAAAGATGCATCGAATTCTATACTTTGCATATCTCTGGCAAGTTTTGTTAAGGTCTTTAGTGAACTTTTCTTTAAAAATCGATTTTTTTTTCGTATTTTTTGAAAAAAACTTCACTTTATCCTCTATAGAAGTCTCGATTTTTGAAGAAAAGTTCGCTAAAGACCTTAACAAAACCTGTCAGAGACATGCGAAGTATAGACTTCAAACTGCATTTGTTGTTCGATGTAAATATACCATGAGATGCAGCACGTTCTGGGCTTTCTTTCTATATATAGAAAATTAATAAATTAAAAAGGTCTAGTGATAAAAACTAAAAAATACAAAAGGGGGCAAAAGCTTTTAAGGTGTACAGTAATTTATGTGTATTCCATAAAAATTTCATTGTATGACTTTAGAATAAAAAAAACATTGTTTTCAATAATATCTCTGTTCAATCGAATGCTGGATTAATGTCATACAGAGATTCTACAATCATTTTATGAATTAATACTCATGATAAGAAAAAATTTCAATCATAGATTATTGTTTATACAAAATCTATTGTTTTTGTTTTCAGTATCGATCATAATTTGATTAATTCGTAGATGTTGATATCAGCTTTATTATCGTATATGCCTTCAATATTCGATGTGACTTGCTCAGAATTCACTACAAGTTCCAAACGCCAACCATATTTGTTAGTCAACTCTAATAATTTTTCTGGATGACCTAGCATCTTAGAAAAAGCTATAAAGACACGACCATTATCGGTTAAATGTTGGTGAGCTCCTTTCAAATATGCTTCGGAAAGTATATAGCCTGGATTGAAAACTGTACGTTCAAGTGCACTGAGTTCTTCCATTGGTTTATCAATATGACAGAAAGGTATATCCCAAAAAATAACATCGAATCGATCATTTTTATCGAATGGTTCAAACACGCTACCATAAACTGCTTGCATACGATCTCCTAAATTGTACTTTTCGATATTAGCTTGAATATTTTCTATTGCGTCTTGAGTAATATCAGTAGCCGTAATTCGATTAGCACCGTTAAGAGCAGCAAGAATAGCCAAATAACCAGCTCCAGAACCAATCTCGAGTACTGATTCAGGTTTTATTATATGAATGAGATCCAGCCACGTTTTGACAAAATGATCTGGTAAAGGAAACACTGCAGGTGAGAAAACATTCGGATATACGATGAATTCGTGTCCACCAAGTTCAATAATGTGTTTTTCATTGTAAGTAGTACCAGCAATGTCGAGCTGAGCATGAACATGACCGTCACGTACATACTGATTTTCTTCTAATTTCATTATGGATTTTTGTTGTTATTTTCGAACGAAATGCTTCAGTTAGATGCAATAGATAAATGAAAGAATTAATCAAAGTCTTACTTATTTTAACAGCAATATGATGAGTATTTATAAGCGTAAGCTATATAAAAAAAGACCCAATGAAATAAGATAGCGTTTATGAGGTTTTCGGTGATACACGGTTAAGATTAGAAAATAACAAGAAAAAGGCACACATTCGTCATCAAGACTCACTTCCTTTCAGAAAGAGAAACTTATCTACAAAAAAGTACTTTTGTATTCTGTCAGACGTCGTCAAAAAATCAACACTATTGCAAAGATATGTAGAAACATCTCACTTCTAATGAAATTATCATTCGGCGATAAACACAATAAGACGCCGTCGGTAGTCATAAGGTAGTGACAGCAAGCTCAATTATAGTCTTAACGTTAGTTATCAATTGTAAATCAATTTGCAGCTTCTATAAAGTATACCAATGAAAATAAGACGAACGTCATATTTATTCGAAACATTTTTTATCTATTATGATGCTTTTGTACTAGAGCAAATTCTTACCAACAGCCATCAGTACATATAAACCCCTTCATTTTTAAACAACAAAAATCACTACAACTACCAACCATCATGAAATCATCCTATGTGCAGTAGCATTCATGAGGATGTTAACATCACTGATTGAATGACTAATATGTAATTGTACTGCATATAGGGTAATTGCTGACAATTCATTTATTTCAAGTCCGACAAAGTAACAGAAGCACTTCTTTATCTTCTGTATGAGAATTTTCATTTCGAAACATATCTAATTTTATGAATCGATAAAAAGTTCTTCAACTGTACTAAATGTATCAGAGTGACATACTAATATTGTCTGCATTCGCTGAAAAACGATTTCTACAGAAAAAAAAATATCGACAATTACATTTTGCCAGACGGTAGCTTGCGCGAAAATCAACTAGGATAGATAAGGAACGAAAATAAAACATGGTGTGAATCGAATACCCGCGATTCTATTTCACCTCCAAGAATAAACTATAGAAAGGTATAGAGCACGTCAATAAAGTCACTTCATAATGGCATCCCTCTGTAGCAATTTGAGACAATTGGATATATTGCCTGTAATCATCAGTTACTTATAGAGTGTATTCGTTTAGCAGAGTAATCATATTTTTGATTCGTATTTTTTTCTAAGTAACCTAATACGCCTGATAACAGTCAGCCATTTCAGTCATCATGCGAGTCCTTGCTAGAGACCTGGATCTAATTTCGAAATCGATGCAAATTATAGAAACTCCGAAAACTCTATTGCATTCTTCTTTTGTGCAGCATTTATTTTTCATAATTGTAACCTCTGGATAACAAGAACTTTTAATTCAATAACGAAGTAATATCAAATAGAAAAATACAACAAAAAACATCGACACTAGATTAACTGTTACAAGTGATTATTGCTAAAAAAAAAGATCAGCACCATTCAAGATTCCCATTGTCGTCATTAGATATATTTTTATCTTCTTTACGTGCTTTTTAACTACCGTGTTATTGAATGTTCTACCATAATTGAAACTGTAACAAAATTTGATTTTTTTTTGTGGGTACCTTCTGGATCTAATGAAATTCTTCAATAGAACTAAGTTTGTTTTTAAGCAACATCAGCTGATTAAGTTTTTCACCACCAAAATTTGTTCTACGCTCACAGACACCATTTTTCGATGACGAGAAAAGACATTCAATCGTGATGTTTGAAGCCAGTATTGCAAAGATTCTCCTAACAATTGAAGATAACGTTGGAAATAAACCCTGTGGTTTATGTCGAAAACCCAGAACATCAATATTTTCTTCATCATCATTATTAGAAAAGTAGAAATCTTGATTTAAATAGAAAAAATTTCGGAGTTTTTTCGGAGATGGAGTCGGAATCTAATTGAATGAATCATTGCGATTTATGGTACATTTGTTCTTTTCTTTTGCTAATAGTAATAATATCAATATCAGTGAAACAGTAGTAATAGTTTAGGATGAGTGTATAAGCTTAAGACTGAGAGATAAAAACCAAGTGGATCGTTTCAGCTCCTCATCTCCGTCTAGCAAAAATTTGGTTCAAGATTAAAAATGATAAATAGTTAATACAGTTCTTAGTTTAATAGAAATTTCTAATTTTTGAAGAACGTATATTAGTTCATTATTTACATTTCTATTTATTTGTTTTATGCAACCAGAAAAAAAAATTATCGAAAGATATTAAAACGTAAAGAAAAAAGAATACAGGGTAATAAGTGACTTAAGAAACTATTCGCTCGCAACATATAGTATGTGAGACCAAATTGAAAATCTATTTATTATACATATGAATTGCGCCTTTATTCCTCAAAATCACTCACAGTCAACACTAGATGGCAATAATGAGTAAAACAGCAAATAGAAATGAAGTAATCATGTTCTGCACAATAATTATATGTTATGTCTCGTGATTACTTAAATCTTTTATGTCGAAGGACACAAAAATCATTGAGGAAGAATGTTCTTTAAATATTATTATTTTCTGGATTGTTACTTGAGCACAAATTCGAATTCACTAATAATTATTCGATGTATCGAAAAATATATTTCATTTTTTTTTATTCATTCGATCGGACTTCAAATCAACGTTCTATAATTGTCTTGTTTTTGCATTTATTTGGAATTTTCTCTAAATCACCGATATTGCAATCAACAAAAATGGCATGCAATGAAGGATAAGCGAATCTTTTAGGAGAAATACAGGCGCAGGTGTGTAGGTATTGTTCTTCTCTGCACGTACACTCGCTCTAGTTATTTTTAATATTTAAGTAGGTAAATATAAAATGCGTACATTTTTATATATAATTTCTATTCTATTGATCGTGAAATGAACGAGGAAAAATTCGTTCTACTATTGAGAGAAGAGTGCATATACTTTTATTTTATACGTTCTATATCAAAAAAATAGCCTGATGATTTGAATATTGTTGACAAAAAAGATCATTAAATAAATAATCAAAATAAGTAGGAAGAGAAAATTTTATATACATAATAAATATTTTATTTGCAAGTCAATGAAGTCCACTGATTTCTTCTCGATTCTATTCATAGTTCTCATAATTTGAAAAATTTAACAAAATTTTATATTCATCAAGCAATAAATCGATAACGGTTGTAAATTATGGCTCAGTATCATGTAAATTGATCGTTAAGGTAACATAGATATGTTATTCTGTTCGAAGAACAATATCGAATTCGAAATCCATCGATTTATGATTATTTATATAACGTTCAATTTTTTAATCAACTTAGCATTTACAACCTATTGATAAATATTGACGATTATTTCACACATTGTCGAAATCATTTCGACTTTCTCAATGATTGTTGTTTATTCTCTGTGAGTGAATGAAACTTCCTAGAGAATCCATATGGAATATTTAATGTTGCAAGTAGTAGGCATGGCATCGATAAGACACGATACAGTGGGTGAGATTTCAATTATTTTTGTCTCCTAGTAGTTATTCTAGACACAATGAAACCTATGTTCTGAGTTGGATATGTTATAGAATCAGATTGATAATAGTTAAATTCACTATTGAATGGCCATGATTAGTAATTCGATTCGAATGGATATAATCTCGCATGTTGGAAGCTTAATAACATTCTGATTGGCATTTTTTGTATGATCATTAAATCGACTATTATGATTTATGAATGACGATATTTATCGAGAGCTATTTTCGTATCTATGGACATATATTGTGCAAATAAAAACAAAAAACAAATTATATCAATTATATTATTAATTCATGCAGATGAAAAAAACTACTTCCGAATTTTCGTTCTATATTTCCGTTTTGTTCTATTTTAAATCAATTCCGATCTATCAAGATTCCTTTATTTTTCATCATTATTCAATCCACATGATCCTTAACTGCCATGTTGAAAGTATTCTTATTTCTTGCATGTATAAGATTGACAATAGCAACAATGTGTGGTCCAAAACAAACCATGATTAATCAAGGAAGGCAACTATGTTGTCGCAATGATACCAATGGTGTACCAACAATTGGTATTGGATATCAACTTACACGAAATGATTTTGAAACAGTCATGTTAACGTATAATTTGACATTTTCAAATGTTTTAAGTGATTGTCAAAGAAACACAAGTAAATACTGTATGACAAATGATCAAGCTGAAGAAATTTTTTATAAAATTTCCTATAGAGAAGCTACAGAATGTACTGATAAATATGTTTCTAATTTGCCACCAATGAAACGAAACGCAATTATTGATGTAGCTGCTTGTAGTTGCCGAGCATTGAACACATTCATTAAAATGAGGCAAGCATTACAAACGAATAATTGGACAGGAGCTGCAGAAGAGTTGAAAGATTCAACATGGTGTAGTCAAGTAAAACAACGACGATGTACGGAAGATTATGACTGTATTCGTAACGATGGTAAGTCTCTGAATCAGTTCATTTTTTTTTAATGACAATTTGAATTTTGTTTTGTTTGCAGAATCGTATCCAAGCACAAGTAACTCATTAATGAATTCTAAATGTTATTGCGTTAATTTTTCACTCATTACTCTTTGCATTGGCATCTTATTCTTTTTATTCTAAAACAAAATTGAAAAAATAAAGAATATTATATATATATTCTTCGAAAACATCCTATCTTCCTCACATATGGTGACATACCAATGATGTTTCTCTTATTAGAGAGGAACGAATAGAAAGAGAAGAGAGATAAAAAAGAACCAAACAGTGTAATATATGACATAAGAGCAGACAAGACAGAACAAACTATCTAACTGAAGATGTATAGTGGCCAATGGCCATGACATATTGTTATTATATTCGTTTCTGTACATCGAAATTCTGATACTCAACATTTCCTAATTGTCACTCTTGTTCAGCATTATTGTTCGTCTGTATTATTGATTCGGATTGTGCACCGACAGTTTGTATGCCATTATTGTTGAATCAAACATGTACTTTAAACTAATTTGTTTCATTACAGCTTTTTTTCATTTTCTTCAAATCAATCTTCATTATCAAGTCTAGAGAGAAGATGACAGACCTGATTAAAAGTTCGACAATAATCTTTTTAATATTATCATATATCAGTTGATCATCGGATAAATTTGAGACTGATTTTTTGAAGCAGAGTTTCTTTGTCATCGTTTTTGATGTTTTGGAAACTGTGATAGACGAATGCGATGATATATTTTAAGTTGAATTTAAAATTGCAGTCTAATTTACCTTTATATGAATAGATATGAATGTCATTACGTGAAGCCTTCCGAGATTTGTCTCCTATTTTTTAATTGTATGAGCAATTATGCTAAATACAAAGTGGCTCACCTTATTTCATCAAAAAACATTGAGCTCTTTAAGCCAGAAACATTTCCATACTGAAAAAACTTATTTTTATTGTCAGAGGATGTGGGTGTACGTTTGCGTGGTGTTTGGGGTACGAAAAAAAAAACACTCACACCCACATATACTGTTGAGTTTTGCCTAAACTTTGAATTCGATCAGTTCATACTTTTCTATGTCCATCTTACTCTGACTCTGCTAGATTAGTAATACCACAGCTCTACTGATGGACACCTACAATAAGATGCTTCTGTTGCATTGGATATAAAAAATCCTTTAGTATTTAGACTAATTAGAATCTACGGTAGAAATCTTCGATTCATAAATATTTTGAGAGACTCTAAAAAGTTCCAAAATAATCTAAACCCACTTATTATTGACGCGCTTTTTCCGTTACTAGAAAACCGTATCCAACAGTCTTTGACTTCTCCAGGTTGCGCTAGAGCCCAGGAGAGAGAAAGCAGCAAAAATTTCAATTTAAACTTTCATTCACTATATTCTTTTCGAAAATTTATGCCAGTTACATAAGAAACAAAAAAAAATAGAAACATTATTGAAGAAAAAATTATTTTTAATCGTTTTTGAAAATAAATAATTGATATTGAATAAACGCTTGTGAGATCAGTTGTTGTGATAATCTCAAAAAATATATTCAATGTCAATTTGAGATCTATCACAAAAACTGATCACAATTCTATTATATCAACAAGCGTTTTTTTTTTGTCTTCTCTACTTACTAATTCACATAGAGTTTCATATATGTTTTACCGTTTTATTTCATTTATCATTCTTCTCTCTTTCTCATGATAAATATTTATTCTTCACTACAGATATACAAAGAAAAAGAGAACCTTATCTCAAGTATGCAATATTCTCTCTTTTGGATGATGACAGACTTCTCTTTGCTTGTCGCTGCCGTCACTCGTTAGCCTTTGCGCTTTTTTACAAATAGATACTGACGAAAATGTAGGTTTTAGGAAGAAACGAATCGACTGTTTTTTTTTCCATTTGAGATAAAGACAAACATAAACGATAAGTATGCCGGTAGAAAAACAACAAAAATATTTCATCATGATAACAGTCACAAATACAGGTATCTTTTCTTTAATAAGCAAGAACTTTTGTTTTGTTCTTTTAACAAATAATTTTATTGAATAAATCACTTTATCTCAAGCTTTTCATATATATACTATATCACAAGAATTTTATTTGATACTTTTATAACAAATTGTTCGAATATTGTAGAAATAAATTGCAAGTACAGATTAAGATCAAAAGAATAATCGTACCCGTCATCATTGGAATATTACAAAAACTCGACATCCTTCAAAACATAGAATAAAACTTGAATTTTTATGATTAACCAAGTGTTTTACAGAATTCTTCATTGAAAATTGTAATTGTATCTGATAACATTATAACATTTCAATACAAATAACTATCACTGCTAACGGAAATTCACAATACGTAACAGGATATGTATGAGATATTGAAATCGAAACTTATCCGTCTATCGTTCGAGTATTCTCAACTATCGAGTCAAAATAGTAAACAGATAAATTCTAAAATACTCTTATTCAACAATCCATGCACGAATAGATCTTAATTTTTTTGGCTTGATCATATTGACCAATTGTTTAGAATTATTCTTGATGAAATGATTAATATATCTATTCACACTCTATATAATTCTTCAAGTTATTAATTAATCAGAATGAGAATTAATTTAAAATTGATCTCCATTATTCGAGGATGTGCGTGTGTGTGTGGTGTTTGGGTAAGAAAAAAACACCCACACCCACACCCACACCTAGAATTACAGATACTCGAGGTCTTCGACGAGATACTAAAAATTTTCAGGATATTTGAACTGTTATTTCATAATATGAACATTTAAATGGAATTTGTATTTTATTTAAACCAAATGACGAACGTTTAACAATATTTGTTAGATTTTGTGTTAATGAACTTCTTCGATATTTGCATACAAGTGTAGGACAAAAATATTATTTTTGGTTTTTACAAATGCTCATACAACATTTTTTAAACTTGATTCAACAACAAGAAATTCTTCGAGCATTTTTAGATGAACTTAAAAAAAGACAAAATATAGAAGTACTCTTTACAAGAGAGAATAGGTTTTTATTAGATAATGAACCATTTCAATATTTAGCCTTACATAGAAATGGAATTCAATTATTTAGTGAACAAATAATAAGTCATCAAAAGAGTTGAGAGCATACTGTGAATACACTTTCATTTAATGAAACTGAACAGCTAATACGAAAACATATGCGTTCAATTGCTGAAACAGTTGGACTTATTCAACAAAATATTCAACCTGCTAAACAATATAAAGAAAATATTCTTAAAAATCCTGAAATAGAATCTCAAGATTTACTACAAGTTGACGTTCGAATTGTGCGATTGGAATATCTCCGAACAGTTTATGTTAATGAAAAGTGTTGTCAACTTATTACTGTTAATAATGAAGTGAAAATCGTATACACATCGAAATGTCATGAACGATGTTATTTTAAAAGTATTCTACAAGACACTATCACCAATCTAAGCATGGAGGAATGCGAAGCTATGGATTAGAAAACAGATAAAATATTTTCACTTTTACAAATCAATTCATTTATCAAAGATAAACATCTTTTATATTATATTTATTCAAAATTAATTTTATTATTTTAATCAGAGTGTCAGTTTGTTTTCATTCACACCAATACTCATCTTTCTATCTCTTTATATGTTTCAACAAAACAAACCATGCAACTTGTTGATTCTCTTGAAAAGATTTGTTTGTATTGGATTATTATTTTCACTCGAATAACTGTTTTCTCACAACATTTTAAACAAATAATTTGAACTTTTCCACTTTTCGACACACTTGATTTTAACATAAATGTGACATTTTTTTTCGAAATTTTAAACAACTTGTCATCTATTCAGATTATTTATGTATATAGAATATTGCAAAAGTAATCTATCAGAAAAAAAATTTGCATATAACCACAGTATTTCGAACAAGTGTGTTGATTTTTTTTCTGATGATAGAGCAGTATTCTGGGTCTTTCTTCCTAAATCAACAACTTATTGACATACATGAAATCTAGTATGATCTAGTTCAATACAGAATTTAGCCTTTTCTCAGGTACTGTTACCTTAGTAGTCAACCATAAAACAATGGAATGTATTCCAAACTTTTTTGACACGTCTTAGAGTTTTATAAAAAAATTTTCAAGAAATGATGGTGTTACGATTGAAATACACTGAAAATCGTCGATTTACGACAGGGTTCTAGACCAATTTAACGTTCCAATATTTTGATTCTATCACCGTCATATATCGATGAAAATAGAAAACTTTTTTAATGAAAATGATCAACCATAGAAGCTCTACAAAATGGGATA